TCTGTTTCCCTGGGGGCATTCCTTAGCGGCGAGATATCTGTCTTTTTCCCTGGGGGCATTCCTTAGCGGCGAGATATCTGTCTGTTTCCCTGGGGGCATTCTGCAGCCGCTCGGACGTGTCGAATGCGAATTAAAAGTAACGTCGAATTTCACCAACCAACTCGTCAATCAATAGATTAATGCTCATGTCACCGTACTTAATTTGATCCAAAGCGAGCTGTTCTGTAGACTGTAGAGCAGATGCAGTGAGAAGGCCCATGCGCGTCCGTCCGTCTGCGTCACCCAGCCAGCATGATAGTAATGTTTCACTTTTCGTATTTGCAGATGGAAGCGATAGCGGCGTGGACGAAGAAGGCCCGAAGGTGCCGGTGGGTGTTGGTTACCGTTGGTCCCACCGTGAGAAGCACGAGTAGTTGCTGACTGTCGTCAAAAGTCTAAAATGTCGTGACCTTCGTAGAAACATCTCACTTCAAAGGTTGCGACATTTTAGAATCACGATTGTCAGATCTATTTATGACGCTACTGACGATGGGCCCCTGTTTTCGGCTGTTAGATCATACGCACACCTTTCGATGATGACATTCGCGCGTTGCCGTTTGCCTGACGATTAAGATTGGCCGGCATACTCAGAAATTATCATTTTTAGAAATAATTCAACCACGGTTAAATTATGGCCCTTTTACCCAATCAGAGGCCTTTTTCCACATAATTTAACCGCGATAAAAATAAATTATCCGCGTTTAAATTATGTGTAACAAGGCCTTTGATCGGGTAAAATGGCGCGGTAAAAATTTGTACCGCTGTAAAAATAATTCTTTCTAAGTACGATGGCAAACCATAGACGAGCGTTTGAGGGCGTAGTGTACTGCCGTGTTGGCGTTCCAGAAAAGTGGCGCTCGCGTGTCACGCGATGTGTCGTCATCGTAACCAGTAGTCTGTTGCGGCAGCGTTCGCTACGTCGGGCTAACGTGATTCAGCAGTCTCCGTGCGATCCCTTCCCACAGCAACGATATGCCGGGAGCGCGTGAAAAACGCAGACCGGCCGGCATGCGTAATGTCCTAGATTTTAATGCAGATTAATTTGCGGGAGTGCTGCGCTCTTAGATTTTTTTGATTGCCCTGCCCTGTTAGGGGAATGAAAAGCATGAATTATTGACTCTCCGACTGATTTTTCACGTGCCGTGATCATATTCCTGGTGCTGCGGTACACGCACCTACGGCCGGGACTCCCGTTAAAAATTGTTTCGCAAATATTTGTTCAGTAGTCATGTGAATGTTTAAAAATGCTGTTGGTGGTGGGGTACCGGCCGGGCTGCTACGACCGCCCAGTAATGCGCGGGGTAGAACTCGGCGCGGGGAATCCGTAAGCTGCGAGTCGGGCGTCCCCGCTCGATCGTCAGACACTCTGTAAAAATGTCAACCGCTGAGGAAATGCGGAGGAGGAAACGCGGCGGGAAGCGCGTCTCTGCCCCGAGGAACGTGATTAAACGTAATGATGCGACGGGTCGTTTCTTGTAACCGCGGGCGTTCTCATCGCTCCGCTCGAAACACTGCGGGGGGGGATGTCGCTGTCTGGCTCACGTCTGACTTTTGTTATTGTGCTCGCTGCAGAAGCCAGAGGTCACGCCCGAGACAGAGGTCATCGCCGAGGAGACGAGCAGCAGCGTCGTGGAGACCGCGACCACAGATGGCAGCACCGTGCAGACGGCGAAGACCGAGGCGACCACGGTCACCAGCAAGACGAGGACGACGACGACGACGAAGACGACGACGTCAAAAGTGCCGACCGCCAAGGTACTTATCCGTAAACTGCCCGCCGGTGCACATCAACCACACCCACGGTGAGACACGACGACAGAGGTCGATGCAAGGTCACTCAAGCTAGACCAGTTTTTTCTTTTTCATGTGCGCTCGCCGAATTGTCGACTTTACGGCACTCCGTTGCCAGGCATTGTTTTTTAGAACGTCGTATCTAGGCCGTGATTGGCCAGAGCTGTCGGTCGATCACGTGGATCGGTTGGTTAACCGTCTCTGTTGCTGCTGTGACTGATTGATGTTGGTGACTGACAACAATGGGCTGCAACAAACCGCAACATGCCGTCGGTGCAACAAACCGCAACATGCCGTCGGTGCAACAAACCGCAACATGCCGTCGGTGCAACAAACCGAGCTCTCAGGGTAACGTTGCCCGGTTGACGAGCGATTGGTATGATGTCAGCATCTACGAATGTTTTGATCGGCAGGCAGCTCTAGCTGTAGCTATGTTTTTTTTTATAATGTTTTTTTATTTCTAGATCCACCAAAGCAATAATATCAAACAATAGGCATACATTGGTACATATGAACATTGATTAGTATTTGACGAGAGCTATACAGAGTAATTTTTTACCATAATTTTTTTGGCGGGGGATATCTACTGCGACATGCAACCACAACACACTGGCTGTAGCTATGTTGCCATACGACGTTCTAAAAGACAATGCTAGGTTACAAAGTGCCGCAAAGTTGACATTTTGTTACGCAAAATGTGTCAAAACTGGTCTAGTTTTCCTGGCCTAGCAAGAATGTCTTAGAGGGGGCGTGGTTATCTTACACAGACAGATACGTCAATTAAGCAGTCTACGTAATTGTAAAGGGTGGGTTCATTTTAAGTGCCCGCCATAGCACGGGGGGGGGGGATAGGGGGTGGAGGGGTTACAGGGGTGAAGGCATCGAATCGGTTTGGCGATGCAAAGTACAGCCGGCGCAGCCACGGTGCGCCTCCGTTAATGCTTTTGAAATATTCACATTTCAATTTGGGAGAAATGCGGCCGACAACAAGAGCGGTTAATAATTGATAGTGTCGCGAGCGAACCTCCCCCCCCCCTGCCCCGCCTGCGTACGCGTGCACCCCGCGTGAATCAATGCTAGCTCGTCGCTATGTATGTATGTATGCATCATTACCGTGTAGTGTGCAAGCTGCTAGATGACACATTCTCATTCCCCATACCATAGCAGAGCGTGCGTGCGTGCGTTCGTGCGTGCGTGCGTGCGTTCGTGCGTGCGTGCGTGCGTGCGTGCGTGCGTGCGTGCGTGCGCGCATACACGCTCGCCTGCGTGCATTCGTATAGGCTCATCTAAGTGTGTGCGCACGCAACTATGTGTGTGTGTATGCATGCTTATGCGCTCACATGCGTGCGTGCGTGCGTGCGTGCGTGCGTGTACGGCTTGTGTGTGTGTGTGTGCGTGCGTGCGTGTACGGCTTGTGCGTGCGTGCGTGCGTGCGTGCGTGCGTGCGTGCGTGTACGGCTTGTGTGTGTGTGTGTGCGTATGCTCCCCTGCGTATATGCCCTGTGTGCGTGCATCACATCTAGATTTGTGGCTGTCGATCGCATACCAGCCTGTGATCGATAAAGACCACCGCTTCCAGATAGTGAAAAATTCAGTAAGCTAGGTTTCTCGAGTCGGGAGCTCTGTGATCTTGCCGGTGTAGTCTCGCGGTACTATCATCGTCATTGCCTCGCAGCGTGGGAGAAAAAAACTGATCAGCCTAATTAATCGGAAAAGCGGTTGCAATGTATACAGATCATCATCTTTCTAATGAGAAATTAGACAAAAACTTTTGCTGTACATTAGTATAGGAGCGTAAATAGCGTGCGACCGTATACAATGGTAGTGCACGTGGGGGATTCTTCATTATTCCTCCATCATTCAAGTTAATTAGTAATTTACGGTTGGCTTATGCCAGCCCAAAATAGCGGCGGCGGCGGGTGGTTGGTTGGGGGGGGGGTGTTCCTTGTGACTGCGGCTTACACTGAGCGCGGCTTTCTCGCTTTAAGCTTTAATTAAGCAATAACGCTGATGTGACACGGTTTGCACTATAAACAGATGAGTGCACCTAAGTTACATAACCATGCGTAGCACGTGCGGTGGGGGAACACAAGCGGAATTGGACGAAGCCTATGCATCTAATTGACCTATCCTTAGGAGCAAGAAAACGACGCCCACCCTGAGATATTTGTTGCTAAGTTTGTCAAATATTATATTTTTTTGCTAAGTTTGACTTATTGGTGCTTTTCACGCACTCACGTCGAATTGTAGACTCTGTAGCACGTGGCAAGCCTTGTCTTTTCGACCGTCCTATCACAACAATGATTTGCTAAAGCTGCCCGTTAATCAAACCACGTGGGGAGGTTAATTCGATGAAGCCAGGAGTGAATAATAGTAGATCTGTTATTATCTGTTAGATCTATTATTATTCACTCCCAATGAAGCTTATGCATCATTAGCTTTAACATGAGGAAGTACAGTGCAGAACGCAGTACGTACCATGATGTCGTGATGACATAAGGAAAGACCGTAGAAGAAACATACTAATGGTAGTTGAAAGCTAATAGCCCAACCAGTGTCGTAGTTAGGGGGGGGGCAAAGTGGGCCATGCCCCCCCCTGTTAATCCGAAAGTTTAAAAAAAAATTATAATTGTTCTGCTAAAAAGAGAATTGTTGTAGTCAGAATGAAGGCTGTACATGTACTCAAAGGTGCCTCAAATACCATCTCCTGCGATCTAGATTTTCAAAATTTTCTGGGGGGGAGGACCCAGGTGTTTCACCCTCATAATACTGGATCCGCCACTGAACAGTTACATATCTAGGGAGCAGAGAACAACGAACACAAATGTTGCCTTTTTACATGGCGCCCAAAACAAAGATTGCAGAGCTGAGAGGCGGCGGAGCATAGGGTGTGGAGAGGGAAGCGGAGGAACCATTAAAATATGAAGTCATCCACTATTTTGCGCAGTTCGCTGTTTTTGGCCCCCCCTGTTAAAAAATCCTGGCTACGCCACTGAGCCCAACCTGCACTGATATGCCTGTGGCGACATTGGAATGTATTGTGGAGAGCGTATCGGTATAATCGGAAGTGAGATCTTTGCATTTTTCGCGAGGGCTTCCAACGACAGTGGGGCACCTCGCACGGTTGGCAGTAAATAGTCGTATCTGTGTCACGACAGAAATCTTACATCTGTATGTTTTCATAGCGAGGCATACCTTGGTGTAATCGCTCATTATACTAATTACTTTAATCACTCTTTATTTTCATAATTGATCCGATACCAGTCCGCGTACCAGCGGTACCGTCAGTCCAGGCTAATTAATCGATAACATGATAATAATTAATTACAACACTCGTGTTAAATATTGCGTGCAAAAGTAAATAGCAAATTCAGTGGAAGCGCATGCATGCACTTTCGTTTACGCCGCAAAATTGATGGCAGGTAAAGTCGTACAGGTTAGACTTGATTAATATGCCGCATGGATAGTAATAGAGATTGCCATGCGTGCGTGCGCGTAAGCATAGAGAGATTAATTAGGGCTTACATGCATAGCATGCATGCGTGTCGAGGCTTTTCTGACGAGAGACGAGAGTATGTCTAACTGGCATACCCAGGCATGGTACAGTCAACCCTGTATGTAAGAGCCATATATACACACATAGAGACGTATAGATACGTGTATACACGTAAAGAGAGCGTATAAGAGCTGTATATTTGGCAATATGCCAAAAGTATCCGTTATAGACAGGTATTCATGTGATTGAAGCGACTTAAGAGAAATTCCAATAGTTTCCTCTACGGACGTGTCAACTAACGCGGGTTTAACTTTACATACAAAATGGTTCTATGGTGCAACATGATTTTTGAAAAGATTTTAATTGAATTGCTGGAGTTTTAACCGTTAAATACTAATTAAATTCCATCTTTTCCCAGAAAACGAGGCCAGAGCCGAAAAAGCCTCAGGGATGGAACGCGAGCTCAAGTACTTCATCTGGACCCAGGAAAAGTAACGTGCACATTAAATTACACCCGAACTTAATAGTATTCTCTTGAAGTGCGATGAAATAAAATGTGTTAAAGAGATGTTAGATACTGTTAGAGGATTTAACCGGCTACCATCCCATTCGCCACTATAGCAAGCCCAAGTGTTGCTACTTTCATATGCAGCTACGTTCCTGTAAACTGCATGCTTACAATACAATGATCACTCAAATCTCGTGAACCAGCCACTAATGGATTTTACATTTGCGACATTGTACATTGTAGGTGGCGCTACCGCAGCACCGAAAAAATCTCCCGTAACACCGAGCAGGACTGTGGTAAAGTCCAAAATCGATACAGGTGTGGTCAGCTGAATGAATTGTGGCTGCGAAGATATCGCGTTTTGAATTAAATGTTCGAAGCGTTGGAAGCACTAATGTGCATTAATTAATGCTGTTCTCTCTTTAATTCGGCACCCGTGTCAAGCGAATGCCGAGCATGTACCGGCAGCGCACGAAACGTGGCACAGTCTCACGTTGATTATACTCACGATCACTGTTTTTATCGGGACGCCTTAAAATATTTAGAATTTCGTGCGAGAAGCGAGTCAGCAGAGAATCGATGCCAGTTAGGATTCGGTGGGTGTACGTCAGATGTTTGCTTCGCTTACACGCGTGGCATGAAGGCACCTGCCGATTATAATCGAGATTATTGCAGTTGGCATTTAGCCAGGTTGAAGTCACTCGGCACGAGAATGTTTTCGAGCGGAAATCACAGTTTTGGTTTAACTCTCAGTGGTGCAAACAGGTGCCACCCGTGAAACGTGGCAATTGCTAGCTACGATTCCTGGCTCCAGGGGGATGTTAAATTTTTAAGTCTAACAGTTTTCCTCTTACTTAGGCGATGGAAGTGTAAAACCCAAGGACACTCCCAAGCGTACGACGCCCACTAGCGGCCCGAAAAAGGCATGTATATGAGCGAGGCAATGAAATCATCGAGGCTACTTAGCAAACGAATTCTTTTTTATATTAGTCGAAATTCTCGTTTCTAATTTATGATTTAGATCGTTAGTTTATTGTCTGTTTTTAGGTACCTAGTAGGTAGTACTGGGTGTGTTACACTGTAGTACTGGGTGTGTTACACTGTAGTACTGGGTGTGTTGTTGGGGTATATTACATATCCGTTGGTTCGTCGTTTGTGTATATCACATATCATGTACGTCTGTCGTTTGTGTATATCACATATCATGTAGGTCTGTTGTTTGTGTATATCACATATATCAGGTATGTCTGTTGTTTGTGTATACATATCACCAAGAGTAGATAATAACACATGTGTTATTATCTACTCTTGACATCACATAGGTCGGTATACCCTTAGGGTACATCGCATATCAGGTGGTTCCGTCATTGGGGTATATTACATGAATAGAAGGTTTATTAGCATAGGTTTTATACTCATCGCAGCTGGTTAGTGTACATCGTTAGGCTTTGCTGCCAACTCTAACCATAACCCTAACCACTAAGCAGGTGTTCAGTCAAAAGCTGGAGTGGAAGGCCAAGTCAAAGATCGGGTCACTTGATAACTCCAGCCATAAGCCTCTCGGCGGAAACAAGAAGATTGATGAGAAGAAGGTTGACTTCAAGGGGCAAGCGAAATCAAAGGTTGGCTCCATGGATAACGTGACACACGTTCCAAAAGGAGGAGCAATAAAGGTGAGAAACACAGCTACTGGTAGTTCTCTCACTCGTCAACGCAAAGTGATGACTCTATGAATATCTGCTGATTGTCTACGTCATCTGCAGTTCATGAGCAACTGTCATTTGTTTTGTCGTGCATAACGACGATCAACTGTTTCACTCTCGTTACGACCACACACACAGTCATCATGCATTTACATGTCAGTCGTTCATGCAGGAGCCTTTGCATTTGCGTTATTACCTTGCCATACACTTCGCTAGGCTTTGCTTGCAGATCAACAAGTCTCTGGGCTCGCAAGTTACTAATGTCGATTACACTCATGCTAACTAATGCTTTTTTTGCTTCTTTCTGCTCGTTATCAAGGTTGTAACCCAGAAATTAGACTGGAAGGTTGAGAGTAAGATTGGCTCGTTAGAGAATAAGCACCATCAGCCCGGCGGTGGAGACAAGAAGGTATTATAACCGTGTAGTGAGTAGCAATCGATCCGTAGTGTAGCCTGCAAGAAATACTCGTTAGTGGGGAAACTTCATTGTGTTCCCTAGCACAGTCTCGTTCGCTTCGTCGCGGAAGACGTCGGTGCATCCGAAAAGCAGGCGTGGGGAGCTTCGCTTCTACGTGTCACAGCAGTCGTTTCTCACCGACCTCTAGCTGTGTGTCCAACGCGCTCCGGCATGCGATCGATTGCCTTCTCCGTAGAGTCTCGTCCGTCGTTTGCGGCGGCGTGAAAGCGAGCTCTCGCCATTGCTGCGTGTCGGTTCGCCCACGTCGGGGGCGGCCGCTTCACGTTGCCATGGCGATTCTCGCCCAAACGCTTTTGCTACGCTCATTCCTCCTAATTTTTAGCTCATCTGACGTAGACAGGTGCAGCTTGTAGACTCGCATGATTGTTCGTCCGTCCGTCCCTCAACAGTTGGGCACAAATCTTAACCGCTCGACCTAGGCTCGTGATAGTTGGTGTATAGCATCATGGTAGGAAAAGCCATCACTGTGCTGAAATTTGAGGTCACAGGTCAAAGGTCAATGGGGCACAGGGCAGATTTTAGACATTTTCTGAGGACATGGTCTGACGGAGCAATTGAAAAACTTTTTTGTTTCAGCGGTGACCTACCATTTTTATGGCTTTATTGAAAGGACCATGAAATGTACTTTCTACTGACATGCGAAGATTAAGTGTCGGATAACTTTTTGACCCTCAAGAGGAGGGTTAAACATGGATTTGTTTACTGTTAGAAAGAATTCGACTGCCGGGTTTGCTAGTAGAATCTATACATGCATGGATGTATGAGGCTACAATGTCACAGTGATGAGTGCTTACCTATTCTGTCTTGCAAATAGTTGTTGCTACTACGTACGATGGGAGCTTCCATCTTTAATCTTAAGACACTTAAACGTACGCGCCATCTCGTGACAACTTTTATAACGATCCCAACGAACATTCCTTCGAGAAGGTTCCTGATACCATCCCTGTGCCTTCCACTGTTTCGGCGCGTATGTGAACACATTTGGGACTAACAGGGTTTACTAGAATCCCACCACTCCACCACAGAGTCACCGCAGTAGACGTGAGATGAGCGTTGTCGCTCTGCGGCACTTGTTTGGGTTCTTCATCTGCATTCACCTTGCGCGGGTGTGTGATCTGTCCAGGCCTTAAACCAGAAATTAGAGTGGAATGTTAAGCCAAGGGTGGAATCGTTAGGGAATACCCAGCACCAGCCTGGAGGCGGAGACAAGAAAATAGAGAGTGCCGGCCTGCCGCCCATAGAACGAGTGCAGAGTAAAATGGGGTCGCTGGACAACGCGAATTACTCGCCAGGGGGTGGTAACGTAAAGGTAACGACGATTAGACGTAGACGTGTTTATGTCGAGCCTAGCCTAACACTTCACTTGGGAGAGTTTTTCCATATTCTTTCCCGTTTTTCCCATATTTATAGATGTGATGGAATGTTTTCTAGAGGTTGATTTTCTGTGCGGGTCACGATTTTAATCTCGTTTTAAATTAAATTTTTGCAAAGGAAAAAATATTGAGACTCGAAGCTGCCAATCTATGATGTTGAGGAGATGATTTTCCTTAAAATTATCTTTGTGATAAGCCGTGGTACCGTAGTGTTAGTGTTCCTGGTTGTTTTCTCTTGGTGACGGAACTTTTCATACATTTTTCCTAAAGATTTTTGTGTCATGCTATTTTAGTACGTTTTTATCTTGCTTAGAATTTGACTGTTAGTGTCTGTTATTTATTTCTTTAGAACTTTTCTAAAACTACATATCTTCTTCTTGTGTCCGGCGAAGGTCTAGGTGTTGGATATTGTTCCTGCTACGTACGTCACTTTCCCTCGGATGTTATTATGAGCTGCTTGTTGAGTAACGTTGGTGTTGTGGAGCACTGATTCACGGAATGCTCTGTCTTATAAACGTCAAGCACCATCTCTGTCTATAATTATTAATAGATAGTGCATCCTTCCATGGCGACATCGTGTTGAAGTCACGGCCATGTGCAACCCAGTCTGTGTGTGTTCGTCGAGTGTTTCCCCTGGCCAAAAAGGTCTGTGAGGTGGTAAATTGTTAGTTTTTTTTGTTTGCACATTTCGAGGCGGCACATATTGTGAAAAAATTTGCAATTTGGTGCATTCTAAGCACTGTTCTATGGAAGAACAGTGATTTTCGTCAGCGAGGCGGTGTTTTGGACAAATTTCTGTGTGGTGGCTGAGAATTTGAGCCAGGCGGGCCGCCTCGCTCGTGTCAATGCAGGGGAAACACTGCCGTCACATGATGCGTTGCGCGGTCATTCTCCCGTAATCTGTCATCCATCGCGTAGTCATTGTCATCGCAATCACACGTTATCTAACGTTCTCCAACGTTCTCTCATTTGTTTCTGATCGGCCACGCCATTATCCTCTCGCGTCCCTGATCAGTTAATCCGTTACATCTCTCGTTCGTGATCTATCCTCGAGCCATTCTCTACATCCAGCATAATCTTCCATTCCATTCATCTTTCTGTCACTCTGCACGTTATAGTTCCGATGCCCTCCCCACACTCATGGACTGCCTACAAATGCTAGTTCATCCCCACTGTCACTTCTCACTCTCTCTCCCAACTTGGGGGGTAAAAAAAAATTTCCTCATCTTTACAGTCTTTTTCTTACATCGTCCTACGTTCTATTGCATGCAGTCTTTGCATACAATATAATTATAATATAACAATTTCGCTGTTTACACCTGCTCAGCTGCGCTGCGCGAGGATTTGCTTGCAGTACATTGAATATCAGGCTGTGCCTGTACGTAAAGGGTGACTATACTGCGTAAGCGTAAATGCTGTGCAATTACTGTGTTACCTTCGCTAATATTTAATGATATTTGCTGGTGAGCGCAAGACTGCCGTTCGAACGTGTTTTTTGCAGGTTTGTGCTGAGCTTTTTAATAACATTTTTTTCCCGTGTTAGTAGTGGTGGAGGGTATAACTGCCTGCTGTGTTAGAATTGTTTAGTCTATGGTAACATTTTATGCAATAATTGTTAAATATCAGTTGCAGTTTGTAACCATATGGTTAGTGATTCCAAACTGCTAACTATATTTTCAACAATTTTTGGACCATATACATGTTCTTCATGTATAGTATAAATTAAATTACTAAATTATATTAATATATATTTTTTTACATTTGTGTCTAACTGCAAGAACTGTTTTTAATATTCATGCCGTGAAGGTGTGTTTCTGCAGTGTTATCTTTTTCAGGAAGCTTTAATTAAATGGTGAAGAGAATCGCAAAGATGCTTACACAGAATTTCGCTCTCATTTTCGTGCACCTATACAATTTTGATGTTCTTAGTTATCTACAACCTTATCACAAATCAGTGGCAACATTGTATCATGCAAATGTCTTTGTCTTGTTTTAATACTCTAAGCCTGCTTTATCTAGAAGGAGGTGTATTTCTTTTTAATTGACTTCACTGGCTACCCGCCTGCCTGTCTCCGGCCGCTTGCACCTGTCCGTCTCACATCTATCTAACCTGCTGCCACCATGTTCCCGTGTTTATCTGTGTGTCTCCTGTGCACCAGCATATGCCCCCTCCCTCGCCTCCCCTCCTCACCCCTTCCCTCCCCTCCCCTCTCTCCCCTTCCGTCCCTCCCCTCCTCACCCCACACCAGGCTGCAGTGTGCTCTCTTCCTGTTGAAGGTTGTTGAGGAGCAGAAGCTGGAGTGGAAGGCGCAGAGCAAGATCGGTTCGCTGGAGAACGCCGACCACCAGCCGGGCGGCGGCAACGTGCAGATCCTCGACCAGAGCCTCGACTTCAAGGACAAGGCGCAGTCCAAGATCGGCTCGCTGGACACGGTGCGTGCGCAGGGCGTGCTGCGGCAGTGTTGCTGCGGCAGTGTTGGTGCGGCAGTGTTGCTGCGGCAGTGTTGGTGCGGCAGTGTTGGTGCGGCAGTGTTGGTGCGGCAGTGTTGGTTGCAGGCCCAAGTGTTGTGCGGCAGTTGGTTGGTGCGCAGTGTTTGGTGCGGCAGTTGTTGGTGCGGCAGTGTGTGGTGCGGCAGCGTTGGTGCGGCCACGTTGTGCGGGCAGCGTTGGTTGCGAGCATTGGTGCCGGCAGCGTTGGTGCGGCAGCGTTGTGCGGCAGCGTTGGTGCGGCAGCGTTGGTGCGGCAGCGTTCCGGTCGCGCGCTCGGCAGCGTTGGTGCGGCAGCGTTGGTGCGCAGCGTTGGTGCGCGCGCGTTGGTGCGGCAGCGGTTGCCGCCGGCAGCCGTTGCCGGGCAGCGTTGGTGCGGCAGCGTTGGTGCGGCAGTGTTGCTGCGGCAGTGTTGTGTGCGGCAGTGTTCTGCGGCAGTGTGGCTGCGCAGTGTTGGTGCGGCAGTGTTGGGTGCGCAGTGGTCTGCTGGGCAGTGTGGCTGCGGCAGTGTTGGTGCGGCAGTGTTGGTGGGCAGTGTTGTTGCGGGACGTCGGCAGGCAAAGATAGATCGTTCGAAAACAGAGATCTGTGTCAATGCTGCAAGGGCAGAGGCGTTCTACTTTTATTCTTGCTAACGCGAGTCCAATAGTGGTGAACCTCGACATGTATAGATGTATAGATCTAGTTTTTTATTTCCGCGGTGGTGAATTGGATGATGTGCGTACGTTATGCAACATGAATTTACGTGTTTCTTATTTCAACGAAACCTGTACCTGCTTGCGGCAGTGTTTGTCGCAGTTTGGTGCGCAGTGTTGGTGCGGCAGTTTTTGAGTGCGGCAGCGTTGCTGCGGCAGCGTTGGTGCGGCAGCGTTGCTGCGGCAGCGTTGGTGCGGCAGCGTTGGTGCGGCAGCGTTGCTGCGGCAGTGTTTCCGCGGTGGTGAATTGGATGATGTGCGTACGTTATGCAACATGAATTTACGTGTTTCCTTATTTCAACGAAAACCTGTACCTGTTGCAGTCGCCAAGGAAACCGAGCGAGAGTGGATCGGCCAATGAGGATAGACCAGACGTTCTACCGGCAGATCAGACTGGAGGTGGTGACCAATGAGGACACTGCACCCGCATACAGCATCGACGCCATCTGGTGTGAAAAAGCCCTCTGATTGGAAGTGTCAGGAACGCTAACATGGAAGTGGGTGTTTTACCGTGTGCAGGCTCGACTGTTCTTCCCACCAGAGGGAGCCATGTACCAGTGCAGGAAGACTCGCTTTTGTCGGATTTTTAACGTGCTTGACAAAAACGATCTTGCATCACGGCACGCCTCACTGCTTGGCCTGAGTTTGCAAGCTATGCAAGAAGCTACACTATTACTGCTAGGTGTTTGTGCTTGATTACATTTAAGACTGACCCAGCATCCAATTATTACCCCATATTTCATAATTGTGTGGTTAAGGTGGTATCTAAATTGGGGGTGCTGCTATGGGCGCTGCCATCTAGCTGGAACTGCCAATTACACCTTGCCTTCACGAAACCCCGTGGTTAAAAGTAAAGCCAATTGGAGTCTTCCATTCTCTTTGTCGAAAGAGTTTGGCGACAAAAAACCAACAGATACGAAATAGATGGTGTAATTGCTCTATATACCACCTTGTTGGTACAATGTCTCTGCTTACCCTATATATTTTTTTCTGTGAAGGCTTGGTGTAAAGTGTGGACTGTTTAGCAGTGCTTTTCATGTCGTTGTACAACATTAGTTTAGCAGTATGTAAGAATCTATGTTGGTAGCTGTATGTCTTTTAGGACCCCCACCTTGACTGTTAACACCTTCCAAAACGTATATGTGATTATCTCTTTTTTTGGATGAGAAAATCCTAAGAAGATACATGAGCCATACTAGACATTCCGATCATATTTATCCCAGATGATAGCTTTTATCTGTGCCATATATTCGACGAGTAAAGATTGGTCGTGTTTTTTTAGTGTTTTACACACTTGGAAACCGACATTGAGGTGCATTTTAAACAATTTTTGTTAAATTATGTGATTTACCTACCAGCAGGTAGCACCATAAAATATTTTTTTCACTATATCTTGCATGCATTGCTAAAAGTGGCATTATGTCACAGATTTTCACTCTATTTTAAAATTTCCTAGTAGTGTTCACTTGTTAGATAAGTGCATATACAAGTGAATGTGCTTCACGAGTGACCAATAGTGCAAAACAGGAAATTTTGGTTGTGTTTATGCTTTTACACTGATAAGTATATTCGCTGCCTGGGCAGTGACATTTATTTCGTATGCACTGGAATTTCATCATAAGCTATATTTGGTAGTGTAAATATATAGTGGCAACTTTTTTGCATTCAGTGGTATAAATGTCGTAAAATTGTAAAATACGTAGTGTTCTGATGCAAGACACACTTGAAAATGAAACTGCTGGTAAGAATTTCAATATAAAAATAACCATGACTGTGATTTTTCCCTCGATAATTCAGGGTCAGTTAAATATATTTATCTTGACAATATTGTATTTCCAGCAGAGAAATCAAATTACATGTTATATGCAGCACAGTGCACCTCATTCCGTGTAGAAATGCACATGCACCAGTGGTTTCATGTTAGCTACATGGTCTCCAACCGACAGCTAGGCATCTTTGTCTAAACGTTGTGGTGTATTGGTAGTTAAAACTGATTATGAAAGTGTTCGTGTAATGGTAATGTGAAGGTGTCATTATATTATTGTTGTATAATGGTACTTTACGGCATAATCGTAGCACTTACGGTGTGAACTAGTAATAATTCTTCCTAATCGAACCGAAAACGTTTGGATAATAGTACCATAACTGATAGCTACTATTTTCATCCACCAGGTTTATACACAGTTTAGTCTTTTGACAAATTTTACACCATTGTATTGATTACTGTTATTCCATTTAGAACATTCCTATATACATATAATATATACATACATCACAAAGGTGTTTTCAATGTACTATTATGCAAGGTATCGATATTCAAGGTTTAAGATGTTAGTGTGATTGATGTAGGTATTGTTTTTTGTTCTGCTAATTTTAATTTGTTATTTTTCAGGTAATAGCTTATTTGAGCATTTTTCACCTTAGTGTAACTCTTTAGTGAGAAATGTTGGGTGTGGTATTTTACTGGCATACGCTATCAAGAACATAGTTGATTTTATGCGAAATGGCCTTGTATGCATTTATTTTGTGTGTTTGTTTGTTTGTTTAAGTTGTTTATCTGTAGGCAAAAACTGGTATGAAATTCCTTCATGGTGATAACTGTGAGTGTTTTTTCTAAGATACATACCCGAAGCATTTTACTACTCGTTTTTTTCTCATTTTAGTTTAACTAGCGTGTGTACTATATTGTTTAGCATCACCCCGTACGTGTGTCGTTTTTTTCGCGTAGGTGGTTCTAATTCACGTTTACTCTCTGGCGTGTTTGTGCATGGGTAGGTTACATGTTCGATTCTGAGTGCAAGGGTCAGTGACGGCCATAGAAATAATGTAGTAGTGTCTCTATATATTTCTACGGTGACGGGCTGTGCTCACTGATCTGTATATAACGATCAGTTATATTTAGATCAGTGGCTGTGCGCGCCACCTAGTGGCCAGAGGGCCGTCGCCAGAGACATCATAAGTAAATATGTCTAGAGTCTAAAATGTCATGCAAAGGTGTTAGCAACATTTTAGGCGTGTGATACGGAATTTTTTATGATGTTTCTAACAACGGACTTCAGATTACTATCGTCTTGACTCGCGAACGATGGCGCATGTCACGGTAAAGAAAATCAATTGCAGTATCAAGCATTTTCCTGCTGGGCCGTGTGGCAGGTGTGTGGGGCGTGCGCATTTGTCTATGTTCTCATGTTTCGTGTTTCTTCTTCTTCAGTGACAGTATAAAGTGACACTTCCTAAAACTGTTGAAGAAAAAAACATTAGGTATCAGAAGCAGGACAACTATTGTAATGCTACATGTCTTGTATTCTGTGCGAGGTTGTGTAACGTGGGGATGACACGTGTAATAAAACATGCTTCACAATTGCGATTGCGTAGAGGACTGGGAGTACACTGTTGTAGTGCATCAGGGCAGTGCTGCCTTCACTAGCGCTGGCGCATCAATTCTCGCCATTCCTGTAGCAAAGCCATAATTCCGTCATCCGCACGTATCCCTCCGATGTCTCACTACCCACCGCTGAACTTATCTACCTTTAGTCCTTTACCTTTATCGCTCGCTACACCAATCCGCAAAGGACGCTCCATGTTACGTCTAATTCGAGGCTCGCGCATTTCGAAATCAAACCTATATTTACCAGCTGTTAATTATGAACGTCTAGATATCATATAGTCTACTTTTGTGCTAATTTGTTGTCTGTAATTGTTATACACTATAGTGTAGAAATGTAATGCTGAACACTTTGAACCCACCAACCACCAGTGAAGAACAGGGTTGAGTAGTTGATCTATGTTTTGTCCCAACGTGTTCTAGGTGGAGATTCAGGCAGCTCCAATAGATAATGGATATATTCATTGTGTTATTCACTTTTAATTGCTTCATTTAAGTTAAAGGTACTTAGCTGGGTTGTGACGAAGAGGTCGGACGTTGAGATTTGATGTACGAATGGCTTGTAAGACAACGTGCGCACCTATGTACAGAACACAGATCTGTGAAGAACTAGATGTTTCGATCGGCTATATAGAGACTACTCAATGTCTATTGTCTACTAGTGTCTACTAAATTCTTGCTGGGAGCGATACAGAGTATATTGATTATGATGATAGCACTACTTTTATGCATAAACTTATTGAATTTAATGTTAAAATATGACTATTATGGGCTATCACGTTATAGAAATCTTCTATTTGCATTCCTTTTACAGTTGCATGTAGTTATTATAAACTGGAATAGTTTTAAGTAATAAAGTGCATGTTATTTTACAAAATTATAAATCGTGCTGTTTGTTGCTCCACTTTGTTTTTAAAACGGGAAGTGTTAGTAGTGTGTTTTGGAGCCCCAACATTAAATACGGGCAGTCATGTGTCAAGGGGAAAAATCTACGTTAATGGGAACCCCACAAACTTGGTCAACATCAAAAATCTTTTCACAAATATACAAACATTTAAATTCAAAGAGCATTAGGAGAAACCATAACAAATTGATAGATATGCTCGAATAAAGTCAAATTAATGCATACAAACCATATAATACAATAACTACTATAGTGTTTTGTACCAAAATATAGTTTTCTTGTATTGTTTCAGATTTGAGACATTACAGATGACCACTTTTTTACATGTATATTACACAATGTCTATACAAATACTGTCTAGATCACATTATCAATACTATTTAATCTATGTAGAAAAATGACAAATAAATTACATTCTCTAAAGAAAGTTATAGTGATATTATTTTCTCTCTGGTTTTCCCCTCTAAAGTATATACAGAAATCACAATGAAACACACTATGTTAACGCACCATACTGTATCGACCAAACAATTTTTCGAAATGAAATACCTGCAAACTGTTACTGGTATTTCACAGGCGCGCTGGCCTCTGGTAAACAGGTGGTCGCGCTGGCAGACTACTGCCACTGTGAGAGCTCCCGCCCCTGCCTGCTCGTTGAAAATGTGCCTAACTGCAGACGCGTGATCTTGTGTTACATGCAACAGTCTGTTACAACACACAACTGCCTGCTGCAGCACACAACTATACTACATCATGCAACAGTCTGCTGCAACATACAACTGCCTGCTGCAACATGCAACATGTAACTGCATGCTGCATCATGCAACAGTCTGCTGCAACTGCTGGCTGCAACATGCAACTGCTGCTGCAACATGCAACTGCTGCTGCAACATGCAACCTTTTGCAGCAACAAGCAGCCGTCAGTTGACAGATGAGGCTGCACGCAACAGCAGACGTGTCGGATGCCCCAACACCTCACCTTCACACCGGACGAGCACACCGCACCCAAACAGCCGTACCTTGCCATCATCGCACATGCGTCAGTCAGTCCTCACGGGGAGGTGCCTAGTTCAACAAGACATCTGACCGCTCATCCCACACTAGAGATCGGTAGAGGACGGCGAGGTGGCAGTGGAGAGACGAGCGGTGCGCCACGGGGCCGGGAAGTCGCTCACAGTCGCCCATTCAATCACCCGTTATTCGTCAAACACATTATCGTGGGAACCCCCCCACCCCCCGATTCCTTCATGCGAGATAGACGGGGCTAGGAACGAGCTCCCTCCCACTCGCACGACACATGTCGGGGGGCTGTTAGCTTCGTAGAAGAACACAACACATAATATGCTGAAACGTCCTCCTCTTTCAATGCTGACATGATATATCATATATAATAGACGTATTTCAATTAAATGAACTTTTTCGGCAAGAAAATTCCGACCACTCGCTGCGCGATAAATGCCCGTCTGATAGAGAAACTGTAAGAACGGCAAATTTTACAAGCTACGCAATACTATATAAGAACAGTTGATGATATCGCTCTTGCTGTTCTTACCTGAGGGAGGGAAATTATGGGATGTCTAACCAGCAAGGCTGCTCAGTAACAAAAACAACAAGCACACCTGCACACCTATGGGATCTTACACTAAGGTTCGTTTCGAGTAAAAACGTCAGTTACAGAGGGTAGATGTGAAGATCACACACACACGCATGCACACGCCCACACACACATGCACATTAGAAGAATCCTAAGATAATATAGTATATGATCAGGCACAAAGCCCCTGTGGTAGTAATTTTCCGTCCGCTCGCACTTTCAGTCTTTACGACTAAACTCACTTAAAACTCTCGTAAAAACTAGGTACAAGTGCTGCCACCTGTTGTGCTTGTTGTGACTTAACACTCAGCCTCTCGGACGTGAACGTATGTTGGCAACTGCGCCGCTCCTAGTCGCCTAGGTGACAGCGAGATGACATTACGATGGCAAGAGAAGCGAATCTACCGTGACACGTGAAACTAATCGGCAAACAAATCAAATTGCTCCGTCGATTATTTCATGCTTCGCATAATAATAATAAAAAATCGTTGCAAATGTGTTCACGTGAAGCAGTAACACCTGCTAAAATCGGACTCGCGACGCCAGGACAGGCAGCTGCGATTTACCGACAATCCATCTTAGTCAGATGCAGTGATGAATGACCTCAGACGCTCGCGCTAAAATTCTTCTAACGGGTCAATTACAGTGACGGTGACAGTAAATTAATGATCCTTACGTACATTATTATGCCTGTGACTACTGCATTCTCTTATTTAATGCCTCGGCAGTGGCCACGCGACCACTTTTGATTTGCGGTTAACTGGCAGCACTCTTGAATGACCCTGTGTGGCATGAACGTCCCGGATGGCCGATTCCTCGGACAAAATTATATTAAAACGGCGCGGAAAAACGCATCAAATAAAACCTGCTTTCCGTATCCGCACGAAATAAACACGATTGTATCATAAAATCTCAAACCGCGCGCGCACACACGCTCACGACCTCCCGCCCACCACTGCTCCGCATTATCGGGGCAGGGGAGGCGTGCGATATCACAGCCTATCATTACGACTACAATAATTACGAAATGCTACGCGCACCGACGCGACTTCCCTAGCAGCCGCGTATCTGGACGTTAGAACTGGTCGGCATGCTGGATTTGGGTGCACCGCGCCGGCCTCCTAACGGCGCGCAGGTCTGCTAATATTTAGAACACCTCAGCACAACCCCCTAAAATGCAAACGGTATGACACAGATGTTACCTGCTCGACGATGCAAGTTAAGGCCGACAGAGCAGTAACCGCCTGATCTAGTGTTAACATTAAACACAATATTTACACATACAGACATGCGCATGCATTATTTTCACATGAAAATCTCCGGTTATATATGTAGACAACATGGCAGTTGGTTGCTTACGCGCTTCCAAACTCTCGCCTCCACAGCGCCTCCACATCGCTCTGCTTATATATTTCCCGTAGCTCAGCCAGGCAAGCAAACCGTCGGTTTAAAAAAAAGAAAATTCCGTATAACACACTGCAGCAACAAACACACCGGAAGCACACGTAAAAAACGAGCTTGGCTACACCAAGGAGCTAAATATAACAAGGAGAGGGAGCGGATTGGCTGTGCGCTTTTCGCCTCAAGGGCGCCATTTATGGACCATAATCAGCTGAAACGGCTGTGCAGACCGAACCCAGAGACAATAGAACACTAATCTGTTCTAGGGTCTCTGCCGAACCCAAATTTAGGCCAGATATGGCGGCGCTTCCTCTCCTTGTTATATTTAGCTCCTTGGGCTACACCAGCGAACAAGGCAAATAACCAAGCTCTACAACGATGCGGTTCCCATGGCAACTTCGCCTGTTGCCTTGTTACATGGAACACATTCATCGAATCTAGACTGCAAATATTAGAGTTGTATGAATCCCACACCACGCTTGTGCGTGACAGGAGTGCGATGTCAGATGTGCTGACAGTACGTGAGTGGAAATCGGAACAGTTGGCTGCTAACGAAAACTGCATAATGAAATTTCACATTGAACGCACACACATATGGTACTGAAGTGCCTGGAAAGCGACAGTGAGAGAGAGAGAGAGAGAGAGAGAGAGAGAGAGAAAGGGAGGGAGGGAGGGAGAGAGGGAGGGAGGAAGGAAGGGAGGGAGAGAGAGAAAGAGAGAGAGAGAGAAAAAGAGAGAGAGAACTTCCTGCACGTCAGACGGTAAAGAAGAATGGAGAGCTCACGATCTGAATCAGCGATGCGCAGCGCAGAAGGCACGGGTAAGAACACAACGACACGCACACTGCCCCAGACTACTGTTGCTGCTGCTCCTGCTGCTGCGGCTGCTGCAACTGTTGCTGCACGTGGTGATGCTGCTGCTGCTGCTGCTGCTGCGACAGGACGTTTGGAGGGACCATCTGAGTTTGCTGCGCCGCAGCCGCCGCCTGCACCGCCGCGGCCGACGCCAGCATGTTTCCGTTCGCGTAGAAGGCAGTCTGAAACAGCTGGTGCGAGAAGGGCGCCTCCGCCTTGCTGAGGCTCGTCTCTATGGCGACGGGAGTCGTGATGCCCGGCACGAGCTGCTGCGGCTGCAGGATCGTCTTGATGTTCGGCAGCGAGCCGCACGCGCCGCTGAACGCGAAGCATCCCGCTCCGCCGCTGCCGCCCCCGCCGCCGCTCCCGCCCCCGAATCCGTTCTGGAAGCTCGGCAGCGGCTGGTTGCACCAGGCGAGGCCGTTCGCGAGGCTCTGGTGGGGCGCGATCCCGAGGCCCTGGAGGGGCGCCGCCGCCGACACCGCCAGCCCGTTGAAGCTCAGAGGCGCGACGCGTGCCGCCGTGGGCTCGCCCGCCGGGAACGAGAGGGTGCCACCGGCAGCGGGGAAGCGCGCGGTCGTGGCCAGCGACGGGGCGTAGCCGGGCATGCGCGCCGCCTGCTGCGTGAGCGTCGCCGATGCGGCGAACGCCTGCGAGCTGCACAGCGCCCCCTGGGAGACCATCTCGCGCAGCTTGTCGACGTCGCGGTGGATGATGTCGGGCAGCGTCTCGCCGCCGTCGAGGCTGTCCGAGTTGAGGAGCGTCTCGTTGAGCGTGATGCCGGGGTCGTTGGGGTCGTCGTCGAACGACATGTTCGGGTTCTCGCGCGACAGCTTGTCGAGCGTCGCCGCGACGGCCGAGACGTCGGCGTGCGACGCCGCCAGCGCCATCTCCAGCTGGTCCGCCGCCTCCCTCGTGCCGAACTCCCCGTTTTTACCTGAAAGCAGCGAGCGAGCATTGTTGACATGCAATAGCAGTGGTAGAGGTAGTGGTAGTAGTAGAAGTAACAGCAGTAGCAGTAGCAGCAACAGCAACAGCAGCAGCAGCAGCAGCAGCAGCAACAGCAGATGTAGCAGCAGATGCACTGATCATCACTGGCTCCCAGCAGATGCACTGATCATCACTGGCTCC